TAGCGATCCCATTTTCGGGATCGCTAATGCGGAGGCATAGCGTCGGCCCCAATGGGCAAAACTTGCATAGTGAAGATCGGTAAGCATTTCGCTTACCGATCTTCGCTTTGCGACGCCCGCAGATCAGCTGTTCGGCGGTTTCAAAATGGCGTCCGGACGCCTAAACTGGCAGCGCGCAGCGTTTTCGCGCCTTCCCCTCGCTTACCGAGGGTGCGAAAATGGCTGCCGGACCCTGGAAACTTTGCTAAACGGTGAGTTTTGTGCCCATTTGGAACAATGGGCTTCCCCGTTCCGTTTAGCAAAGTTTTCACATAGCGAAGGTTAATCCAGAACAGATTAACCTCGCTATGCGGGGCACCACTGTATATGCACTTGAAGGGAAATTCTCACCAGCCAAAATGCTACTTTGCACAGGAGAGATGTGCTGGGAATGAGGTAAGCCCTTCCTTGAATATGATAGAGATGCATGGTATGGATATGGAAGGCAACGTTTGGTGCTCTTCATAAGTCTCTTTCCAGACTATAAAAAGCAGCAGCACTGTTGCTGCCCAAATTCACACTGTCAGTCTAAATGCTGATGCCATCCTTCTCACACATTAGCTCTTTGGGGGAATAGTGCCTTCTTCACCATCTTTTTTGGCCTCTTGCCATGGCTTCATTGCACAAAGATGTCACTGAAACACATATGAGGTTCATTTATGTCTGCCCCACCTTAAACCAGATGCTTCTCTGCCACACACACACCCTGTACTGCTGCCTGCTGCTCTTTCATAGTGTCAGTGCTGAACAAGGTGGCTTGATGACAGATTTTCAGTGGGTAGGGCTCATAACAGCAGTTTAAAGCTGTCTTTTTCCTCTCCCACACCTCTCAACTACTGCAGTGGGTGCAGGCAGTATTCCTGCAGCCTTCCCCAGGTGTCTACTTCTTCCACACTCATGTTTCACACTACCTGCAGACTCTACCCAAGGAACAATATTTTATCCCGATATAGGTAAAGATAAAGGTTCCCCCTGACATTTAGTCCAGTCATGTCCAGCTCTAGGGCGTGGTGCTCATCCCTGTTTCCAAGCCATAGAGCCAGCGTTTGTCCAAAAACAAGTTCCGTGGTCACGTGGTCAGTGCGACTAGACACAGAACGCTGTTACCTTCCCACAGAGGTGGTACTTATTTATCTACTCACATTTTAACATGCTTTCGAACTGCTAGGTTGGCAGGAGCTGGGACAAGCGATGGGAGGTCACTCCGTTGTGTGGATTTGATCTTATGACTGCTGGTCTTCTGACTTTGCAGCACAGAGGCTTCTGCGGTTTAACCCGCAGCACCACCATGTCCCTGGCAATCCCGATTTAGCAGAACACAAACTCTTCAATGAAAATCACACACACATACACACCATCATGAAATTAATACATATCTGTTGAATAATCTGTATATTTGTCTGTGTATAACAAACTCTTCTCCCCCTGCCTGATATACTCCAAAAGCGTCTAAACCTAATATATTTCCCTGTTCATTTATAATGTACCTTGAGCGTTCAGAAAAGGACACCGAGACAACTGCTGCAATGTATGCATACAGCAGAGCATATTCTAAGAGCATATGCTCAAGATATTTATAAGCAGCTACACCACTTTCCAATCCAAAAGAACAAATGCAAAAACCCCCCACTTTTTGGTGTCTGTGCCGGCTTCTAGATTTCTTTGGTGCAGCCATCATTTACAGGTTTTGCTCTCACTCGGCACCCTCGATTAGAAAACCCTCCGGGCTTCCCTTTCACTTCTTCCTTGAGCAAGCCAAAAGCCACCCTTTTGCTTTCTAATCTATAGGAGTAAACGGGACTCCAAATATTAGGAATTTTTGTTACAGATGTTCAGAACTATCCAAATATGGTATTATTCCGTGAATTTTGAATATTTCCAAATTTGAAGATACAGTACATCCCTACAATTTAGACCACTTCTACTGGCTGAACCAAGAAAATAAGATCATTCCACAATGGGCTTCCCTGCACTGAACCTATGTAATGTAGTTGATGTTTTTTTAATTTAAATTCATCTGTGACCAGTCCAGTGCAAAAACAGGGTAAATGGCTAACATACTTGCCCTAGAAGTCTAAACCCTGAATCTTAGAAGACAATTCTAAAGACACCTGTGTGTTTTACTTTAATCAAAAGCCAGCAGAATTTCTTTTTAATTGGGATTGCAGTAGAATGGCCATTCATCCTAGATTTTTTATTTAAAATGCAGCCTCTTGTGGGAACACCTAGTACAGCTAATAATCAGTGGTACTTTTCATAGCTAATTGAATTACTAGTTATATATAATTTTTACCATATGGCCTTGGATGCAAGGTAAAGATTTGAAAATTTTATATTAACTGGAGCTCAGTTCCCAGCAACCATTTCCTAGGCTATAAATCAGATCTCAATTCCTCAGCCTTCTATAGGTTATACCTGCTCATTCATTAGGATGGTAAAAGATGCTTATAGGCTGGATGGGGAACCCCCACAGGCTGCATCTAGCCCATAGGCTAGAGATTCCCCATCCCAGTTGTAGCTTGAACATTTTTCTTCAGAGATGTAATTAAGATCCTTGCATCATCAAGTATTATAGCAGCTGTAATCCATAAAACTGTGACAAAAACAGAAAGGCATACAAGTATGTTTCAGGGATTTATGCAATACTGGAAGTAACTAAGAAAACTGGCATTTGCTGAACTTGTAAACAGTCTGGTTTGCTGTCATCACAATCTTGCACAGACATCAAACCTGATAAAATGGAATTTGTGACACCAAAGCTGATGGAATTTCTATTAGTTGTGTCTTTCAAATGCAGGCAAGTGGGACTCACCTTTTCTGTAAGTATTCCACATGGTCAGGGCCTGGGTACAAACACTGCAACCATGTGAGGAAGAAGATCATGTGTGTCTTTCCCATGCAGTTAGTATATCTGATATACCGACATGGCTGCAACATTCTCATACAGCCCCTTACTACATGGTGTTGCATCACAGAAATACTACTACAGCTGATCTATGAAGAGAAGGAAGCATTTGGTAGGATACAAACGAAAAACAGCAGAGCAACACAGAGAAATAATACAGAAGTCATTATTTTCCTCCATAAAGTTATATATATGGTAACAACTTTGATAACTTTCCCATGGCCTTTAAGTAAGGATAAAGCTTTTTACATTATATATTTTTACTTTTAAGAATTCTAATACGTTAAGAGATACATTTTCTGCCTTTATAGTCTATTAGCCCCTATATTTTTAAGATGTAACTTAAAACATTCTTAATTTGTCTTTTTTTTACTCTTATAGCATATGCTCCTGTATTTTATATTCAAATACTGTACGATCTAAGTTCTACCTAAAACTTAAGTTTTAACATTTGCATCATTTTACAAGTTGCAGGGAAATATTTTAAGTATTTGTGTCTACCATTTTCTTCATAGCTGTAAGATTTTTAGATTTTACAAGAAATCTGAAGTAATTTTGTTTATATGTAACATGGAAGCAATGTAGATAAATAAAGCTTGTAGAATTAGACAAGTTGATATTGCCTGAAATTATTGCAATATGGGAAACAATTACACTTTGATAGATGGATTTTGATGTAACTTCTGTGATGGTTTGGTTTCATCCTGGAATTAACCATGTACAGTTGCCAGCTGTGATGAACACTGGCTTCTGATTATATATTTTTTGTAGACTCGGGGGGTGGAGATGAGGGGGCATTAGCACAGCTAACCTGACAAAAGATCTCAGGGATGTTTAATATGAGGACCTCCAGATATTGTTGATACTGTCATAAGAGGGGGGGGGATGGATGATGATGACAATTTAGATGCCCTAGAAAAACCTTCTGTACATAACTGGGGATTCTGGGAGTTGTAGTCTAAAACATCTGCTGTGCCAAAGGTTTGTCACCCCTGGCAGAAACATCTTTGGGCAGGCATGGCACACCAGGCATTATTTAAGTGTTTATTAGTGACATGAGCATGGCCACTCTCCTGAATAGACCGGCTGAAGTTGGAACTGTTCTTTCACAGTCTAAGCCAGTGGTTCTTAACCTTGGGATACTCAGGTGGGACTGCAACTCCCAGAAGCCTTCACCAGCTGTGCTGGCTGGGGTTTCTGGGAGTTGCAGTTCAAAAATACCTGAGTAACCCAAGGTTAAGAACCACGGGTCTAAACAAAATAAACCGCATCACAACTCCATCCTTATTGACACTTCATATTTTACATAACTGTTTTTCCAGTGCCAAATATTTTTGCCATAGAGATAACTGGGAAGTAAACATCTGTACAGAACAGGCAACGTTGGCTTCCACATATGTTCAGGCTGTTTACACAGCTTATAGAGCTGAGTCTTGGGGCCTGGACACGTTTGCAACAAAAACAACGCAATGCCTTAAAGCCTAAAATGTTGTATTTGGCATAAGATTTTATAGATTGAAACCTACTGCATGAGATTCATCTGATATTGAGATAAAAGTATGTTAAAGTCTAAGAAATCTTATAGAATACCTAATATACATACAAGATGGTTCAGGAGCATTTTAAAATGCTATACATTTTATTTTTGAGCTTCTTCCAACCAGGTAAACTGCTGTCTGTCGCTGTCTCTGGATAGCACAGCATACAGAAAACACATTTCAAATTGCAACAACAAGAACAGTCCTAACTTAAACTGACACCTCCTTGGCTCCTCAACTCCGTCATACGGAGTTCCAGGAGCTTTCAAGCCTTCCGCTTAACACCTCACAGAGCCAAAAGAAGACAACCAGCCCCGCTAGGCGGCCATTATTAACATGCGTCCCGCGCGTGCGCGGCTCGAGAGGGACTCCCTCGTGCCGTCTAGCTAGCTGCACTCCTCTCGATGGTAAGAGACGCGCCAAAACGGAGGAAGCGCCCGTCTCATGACGACAACATTGGCGTCACCAGGAGGAGGAGGAGGAGGAGGCAGAGGCAGGATGACGAAAGGCAAGGAGGCGGGACTGGGAAGGCCGCGGGGGTAATCGGGGAGTCGCTGCTATGGCCGGCGTCTTCGACATCGACCTGGAAACGGAGGAGGGGAGCGACGGGGAGGAGCCTGAATTGGGGGCCTTGGTGAGGCGGGGATGGGAAAAATGATAGAAGGGAAAGGGGGTGGGTCTAGCGGGGAAAGGAGGGGGAATGGAGTCCCCCAACCGCGGTCGCCTTCCCGGGTTGGCTCACCAGTAAAATCCGAGCGACTTCCGTGGCGCTTCCTTAACTCCCCAGTAAGGGGTTGCAAGCAGCCCAGGGGGCCGAAAGCCTTTACCCGCTGCTCCGCTGGTGCCTGAGCCCCCCACCCGCACCCCCCTTTTCGGCGAGCAAGCGCGCCCGGCTTTCCCTGGTGCTGATGATGATGCCTTTCTCTTCCTCCCCGCTCTCTTTCAGGACGTGGACCCCGATTTTCACAGCAGTGGCCCGGAGTGAGTACAAGGGCCAAAACGCCCTGAGGTCCTTCGTTCGCCAAGGGGGGTGGGGGGGTTGCTTTGCTTCCTGAATCGTCCTCGACTCACCCTCATTTTTGAAGCGGGGGGGGAGTCTCTTGCCCGTTAAGACCCCTCTTTGCTCCCTCTGTTTTTCCCTTCTGTTTGGAAACAGGCGGGTGAAGAGGCAAGAATGGATGGATCAGAACGTTAAGACCCCACTTTGCTCCCTGTGTTTCTCCCTTCTGTTTGGAAACAGGCAGGTGAAGAGGCAAGAATGGATGGATCAGAATATGGAGGGGAGGTTGTTGTTGTTGTTGTTGCCTTTTAGGAGTTGTGCTCTCCATTTGAAGGGCTTCCAGAGGACAGTGATTTTCAAGATGTCCTCCACTTGAAGGGACTGTTCAGTCCAAATCTGATTTGAAGATCAAAAATAATAAGGAGGGAAATCAGAGACCTTGGATTGAACCATCCTCATCTGGATGGTTGGATTAACAAGAAGCATGCAGGTCACCTGATCACAACTTCCTTTGAGATGTGTTATAATTCCATTTAAATTATAGTATTTCTAATTGTGTGTGTGAGAGAGAGAGAGAGAGAGACATTCCTACACAGACACAATTAGAATTAATTTAAACAGAATTATCATCTGGATGGTTGGATTAACAAGAAGCATGCAGGTCACCTGATCACAACTTCCTTTGAGATGTGTTATAATTCCATTTAAATTATAGTATTATTTCTAATTGTGTGTGTGTGTGTGTGAGAGAGAGAGAGACATTCCTACACAGGCACAATTAGAATTAATTTAAACAGAATTACACATACACATCACACACACACACACATTAATATATGCAATTTTGAGCAAAATAGAGGTCTCTTTTGTCTTCGTTGTTTGGTGGTCTATGGTCTGGTTTTGGTGGTGTGCTTGTAGCCACATTGTCCCTCAGTAGCCCATCTATTTTCAGTGAAGTTCCAGGTATGGAGGTGCCCCCTCTGTGCCATTGCATTATTTTAGCACATGTACTCATAGCTGCTCTACTCCAGTGGCTCCCAACCTTGGGTAAGCCAGGTGTTCTTGGATTGCAATTCCCAGAAGCCTTCACCGGCAGCTGTGCTGGCCAGAGTTTCAGGGAGTTGCAGTCCCAGAACACCTGGCTTACCCAAGTTTGGGAACCACTGCTCTACTCAATTCCTACAGGGACACTTACGGAGAAACAACAGAGTCACCAGCTGGGAGAAGCAAAAAGAACAACAGCTTGTCCTGTGCATTTAAGTCATTCCAAAGAATTGCTGCTAGACACCTAGAGACAGTGGCAATTTTTAATTGTATCTTTCCCTGTTCCTTTACCACCTTGGAAGGGAACATAGCAGTGTGATTAAAAGCAGCAGCATTACCTTGGTTTTGGATTAGCAAATCATCTCTCAAAACCCAGAGTTTTGAGGAATGTCGTAGATTTTGAATGTGTGAATTTAGGATTGTATTGAGTGGTGGTGTTTTTTCAAAAAGGTTCCCTCTCATGCTAGTCAGGGCATCTAATTTTGGCTGCCACTGCTTCCCCCATCTCACTTAAGTTGCCTGTCCTTCCTGGAGATCTGATGACAGAGAACCCTCTAGATAGAGGGATATAGCCCAAACAGCTATATTGGGTGGGGGCAAAGGGATCCTCGATGGCAGTGCTGTCACTGGATATACTTTCGAGTGTTTTGCCTGTAACCACATTTTTCATTTTGAGAAATCTGAAACAATGAAGCAACTTCTTGTTGCTGATGACACCTTACCTATACCATTCCCATCACCTCTTCTGTTTTAGTTCTGTACCCATGAACAAAGACCAACATTGGTTGGGATTCCTGCCGCATTGTTGATTCAAGACTTGCCTTTTGTACTGTTCACACCCAAGACTCCAGTGCTGCTTTTCACCCACCTCTTGTGTCTTCCCAGGTTGTTCACATTTGGTCTAGTCATGTGAACAGTTCTAGATCATCAAATGACCACATAAATAGTGGATTTATTTTAGTTCTGAACACTATGAGTTGGATCTCAGGTACACTGTTTGAGGGAAGCTGACAGAAAAAAGCTTCCCGGTATCTTCTCCTACTCCTTCTCCCCCTTATTTGGGGAAGAGGGAGATTTCCAGAGTCTGAGAGGAGTTTTTGGATAGAACAGTGGCAGGAAAAGAGTCAGACCATGAGCTTCCTTAACATTTATTGGAGTCCATAAACTCCATGCTATCAATCCCTGCCTTTCAAAAACTCATGACCCTTGCTTGTAAGGTGCCTCCCAGCCACATGCTTTGCTCATCTCCTTAATTACTCTTTCTTCCTCTCAGGCTTGTGCCAGGACATTATGAGGAAATTGAAATCTCTGAGAATATTGTTAACAATGGCCCAGAGCGCATCGGACCCCACTGCTTTGAGCTGCTGCGTGTTTTGGGCAAGGGCGGCTATGGCAAGGCAAGTAGTACATTGTGAAGATGGTACACTAGAGGTCCCTTATCCATGGGATCAGTATTCATTGATTCACTTATCCACAGCCTGAAAATATTAAAAATATTAAAAGAAAAAAGTCTGGGGGGGACCCTATTTTCACATGTATTACCATAACTAGTCACTAGAGGGAGGCAGAAACTGATCTATGAATACATGTTAGTGAAGAATACATAGCATGATCTTTGGCACCCTCTAATGGCCAGCTCTGGTAATGCATGTGAAAATATTTTTTTTCTGGTTTTTTTCCTTTTATCTTTCACTGTTATCCATGGTTTTCAGTAGGGGGCCAGGGGCTTGGAACGAATCCCTAGTAGATGGGGGGGGGTCCTACCGTATTGGGCAGCAGGAATATAAAGAAATCTAATGCTTTTAGGACTACTGTCCTTAAGGATGAACAGATGTAAGAATCCTAGAGCTTCATTAGGGCAGTAGATTAAGTAAATGTTAAGTGTATTCCTATTTTTCGAATCTCTGAATGCTTTAAAACATTTCACACAGACAAGGACCTTCTTCTCACTGAGACAGTAAACCTGTGTCTTAGTGGTATCCTTGAGATTGCAGGTGGAGCTTTACATATTGGAGTGCTGCTTCTCCTCCATGAAAAACTATTTTTCTTTGCAGAAAACTAGTTTGTGAAAGGCTAGTCTAATATCCTTCTTTCTAGTCTCTGTGTGAAGGGAATGGTGTATGTGTGCTGTAGATGAAAAAAAATTCACTCACGTGATCTCTATTTTGCAGTCTGAGCTCTCAGCATGTGTTCATGAGTAGAACCATGAACACATGCTTTTATGACATAAATTTTCATGGCTTAAAGAGAAGTCAGCCAGATGGAACAGGAAAACAGATAAGCAGGTCCCTAGGTAAATTTGAATGTGCCAAAGTTGACCAAATAGAGCACAGATTATTTGCAAGTGTGAGTCATAGCAGTGAAGCCAATCTTCTGTTTCTGCTGAGTCTATAAAAAGAATGGCCTGATCAACCATCTAATCTCATTGTCACAAACGTACCTCCTGTTTTGTAAATAACACCATTTGTTTTTTGTTTAACCAATGATGTATGTTTGTGAAGTTCCCAAGATAACCTTAAAATTGAAGTATTTAAGGACTCAGATGTGGTTGGTTTTATTTCTGTCGGTTTCAGTCTGTGTGTAAAGTGATAACAACCACTTGTAACTCAGATCACTGTGAAAACGACTTGGGAGAACCTGGGCTTTTTTAACTAGATGGGAGTACCTGAATATAATTAAGGAAGTATGTAGCACCAGGTGGCTCAAAGTTGGAGTCATTCAGTCTCTACACGAATGAAACTAACGCTGGGTGTGGATGATAACTGGATGATCCAGTTAGTGCCCTTGTCCCAAGTCCTTCTATTATAGAAAGTAGTCATCCTGCAGTTTCAGTCATGCCTCAGTATTATCCACCTTCTGGATCTCTGCCAGCCCACATTTTAGCCAGGACATAATACTGTAAGTGTTTGTGATCTGTCTGATTCCACATGAAAATCAATAGGGGTGCATTCATTATGAATGTTTCATGGATCTTTCTCAATCCTTTGGCAATGATTGTGTGGTAGGAGAAGGACAGTTGGCAAGAATGCTCTTATGTGGATCTGTTCTCATAAAAAAGGTTCCAGGAGAAGACCAAAAGCTAACATGGTACTATCATGCCAAGGTGTCCTGTGGAGTTCCATGGGCTCTGTTTTAAATCTGAGTTTGCTGCCACTAATGTACTAATGGCCACAACTCCATTCCTCCTTTCTGCAACCTGTAGCTTTTTGCTTACTTGGTATCTGGCTATGACTTGGGGAGGTTCTGAACAATCAAGGAGAACTGAATGCAGAGTGGACCAATTCATAATGGGGAACTTATTTCTGGAAAGATTTATATGAAATGGCTATATACACAAACATGTATATTTCTGCAGCATGGGGTTGCATTATGCTAAAGCGTCTCTCAGCTGCAAGATGTACAAGAGGAGAGGGCCTTCTGTTGTCCGGTTACTGGGATCTGGCCCCCTTCAGTTTAGGTTCTAAGTATCCCATGAGTTCTTAGCTTAAGGAAATTGCCTTTCCTCTACCCCTCCACCAGGAATTCTCTGGGGCTTCTTGGGTTTTATGAGAGCTAAATGTTGGATAATAATGTGAGTCATTGGTAATTAATACCATTAGATGCATACACTGAAGAAACTCTGTGAAAAATGCACAGAACTGTGATTTTGTAGCTGGAACCATGACCTAGTGATTTAGTTTGGATTGGTGCCAATGCACCATGTCACTGACTTTGCGTCCTCCAAAGTAATCTTTTAGATGGATGTTAATTTATGGAAGATGACAGTTGAGGGGTTTGGATAATGACAGAGAACGGAGTCATCTTTCCCTTTCTCCTTGGTTTTCATGAAGGCTCATTTGCCAGTCTGAGGAAGATGCTGCTTTTCTAAGTTGTTGATTTTGTTCCAGCCAGAAAATGAGTCTCATGTTGCCTTTCCTCCAAATTTGCCATGGTCCTGATCTTGGTTACTGTTTCTTATTCCATTGTAGGTGTTCCAGGTACGGAAGGTACAAGGCACAAATGCTGGGAAAATCTTTGCCATGAAAGTCTTAAAGAAGGTATGTATGTGATCTGTTATATATCGTACTCGGAACACCTTGAAAATCTGATTTAATCAGTGTGAGTAATTTCTCCACTGAAGCATATTACATTCATAGTTTCTGTAGCCAGTTTGTCATGCAATGGTCATCCTTTTAGGTAGGCTGTCCTTGAGTAGCAAGCTTGCAATCTGACAATACAGCTAGATTGAAATCCTTTGCTCATTGGTAGAACCTGCTAGAACTTGTGTATTCAACTGTCACAGCCTTTGAGAGGCACTTCATCTGCACCATGACGAAGGGTCAGGATAGGACTTTCTGGGGATAGGACTTTGTATCTTAGTGGGAATTTAATTGTCTGTTGGTGTTTCCCATAGGCCAAGATTGCCTGCAATGCCAAAGACACAGCGCACACAAAGGCTGAGAGAAATATCCTGGAAGCTATTAAGCACCCATTCATTGTGGACCTCATCTATGCCTTCCAGACTGGTGGCAAGCTGTACCTTATCCTCGAATGCCTGAGTGGTACGGAAATGAAGCTCAGCTTTGCTCATTGGAGGTGGGATCATTCTGAGGCTTTCATCAGCGAGACTGGGATTTGACCCTTTCAGTCCAGGTGCCCTTTGTGTAGAGCCTTGCTGGAGTGGACTGATGGTTTCTTTTCCTCCTGTGCTTCCTAGGTGGAGAGCTCTTCATGCAGCTTGAGCGAGAAGGCATCTTTCTGGAAGATACAGCCTGGTTAGTGAAAAAATTAAAACTTGAGTTGGGGTAATCAGAAGAGCTGAACATATCTCTCGTCTCCCACTGGCCAGCGCTGTGGAAGGTGGCACAGGGGGCAGCGGGGAAATGTTACAGGGCTCCTATCTAATAGATGAGAGGAATGCAGCTGCCTCCTTGCAACTTGATCCTCTGTGTTATTTGCAACAGCTCTATAAGGACAATTTAAGATAGCTGGGTTAGCTAATAAGTCTTTTTTAACAAGCCACCATTATTTGAAAACTTCAATCCATTGTGAAAACATGGTAGCGGTAAGTTGGGTTTAACCTTGATAAAGGCAGCTTTGAGCTGACAGAACACAGGGAGGGAACTCTGTTTACATAATTTCCTCCTTTCTGTATCATATAGGAAAATGGTTCTGGGTGGTTTGTTTTTTTTGGCCTGTTCAAACTACCTGAATGGTTTTGCTAAAGTAATCTGTATTAAAAGCAGACTTTAAAATGTTATCAGTGGTCCATCCAGTCTTACTTAACCCCTGCAGGAGAGAAGATAATTCTTCTCCTACATCTACCTAAAAATAGTTTCTTTTGGATATAGCCCATCTACATATCTCTTGTGGCCCTCTGAAATTAACAAGCTAGCAAGGAGAGGAGAGTAATGTGAAAGCAATTGTGCCAAGTAGGAGAAAGGACAAGAGCAAGCGTTCCCAAATAATGCCATTCAGCTCATTGTTGATCAGTGAAAGAGGGTCATTGTATTTGTGTACAAAGGCGTGTTGCCACTCCCCCCCTTGGGCTTGCCTGATGGGGATAAATGCCAAACACTATAAATCTGTGTAGCTGTTCTCATCCTGATCCTGTAGGCCATCCAGACATTTAACTGGAACTATAAGGACATGAGGTAATGCAGTCCACAAGGGCATGAAGGATTGGATTGATGTCCATGCTTTTAAGGTGCAACAAAGTTACAGTCCAAAGAGGTTCATAAGAATTACAGGTATCTGGTGGAAAGCATGAATGGCTGTCTTATCCAGTATTGCTCCTGCTGGTTAAACGTCCAGAAATCGTCACAACCATTCATCTTTCTGAGGCAGAAAGCAGCCCTGACTTACATGCATTGTACCTGAAAGGTATAAAACCTTGCCCTGCCATCTCCTCTCTTGTGCGCTGGGTTCTTGATTCCTATGGATGAATTAATTCTGAGTAATCTTCTCCATTCTGAAGTGCCTTTGACAGGCTCCAGGCTTTGAATTTATCCCACCTAGCCTGCATTGCTAGGGTTTTGAAGGAGTGGCCAACCACTTTTGAACTACTGGCCCTAGTGCCTGTACGATTCTAGGAACTACAACCCAATAAAAATGTTTTTCCAAGCCACTTTTGCTGGTGAGCATGTTGTTGACAGAATCCTTTTTTTCCTCTTCTAGTTTTTATCTAAGTGAGATCGTCCTGGCCCTCGGCCACCTCCATTCCAAGGGTATCATCTACCGGGACCTGAAGCCGGAGAACATAATGTTAAACAGCCAAGGTACAAAGCATTATTCTGCTTAGTAAGAAAGGGGGAGGACAGTGTCTACACTGGATGTAGAATACCTCAACAGACCCGCAACAGGATCTCACCTTTCTGCTCTCCTCTTCCACAGGACACATTAAGCTGACAGACTTTGGGCTTTGCAAAGAATCTATCCACGATGGTGCCGTCACCCACACTTTTTGTGGCACCATAGAGTATATGTAGGTGGCAGAGGTTCCTGGGCATCTTTTGGAATCCCACACCGCTTCTATCCTCGTTGGAGTCGGGTAGGATTGATAGTTATCCCCTTCCTCTCTTTTTGTCTCTCTTTAAATCCAGGGCCCCAGAGATTCTGACGCACAGTGGCCACAACCGTGCTGTGGACTGGTGGAGCCTTGGTACTCTGATGTATGACATGCTCACTGGATCGGCAAGTCTTGCTTGTGCTGTGTTTGAAGGCAAGGGTGGAAACGATAGAGCACAGGGAGTGGCAGCAATGAAGCTACACCTTGGTGGAAATGGGCAAGGGAGGGGTGGTAGATCGGTGGTCCTCAACAACTGAGCAACAGCTCATACGATCAGCAGTGGCAGAGGGTCATGCCGGGGGGGGGGTCAGTTGGCTGCTACGAAAGCAGGGCCTTTGCATTCTAGTCAAGAACTTCCATAGCTTTTGAGTAAAGACCACATCTGAGTGCTAGATCTCTGCAGCGAGAATAGGCCAGGACTGAAAAATTCGCTTTTTGCTCCTTGGACTCTTTCTTCTTTGGTCACGTGTCTTTGTCCCTGAGCTCAGCAAAACTCAAGGGACTGTGTTTGTGCTTCCCTACCAGTTTTGCCACCAAGTCACCCTTCCTTTTGCTCTTTCTCTCTCTCCACTCCTGACCAGAGCTTGGACTGTAAGTCCCAGAATCCCCCAGTTAGTATTCGGACTGAGGAAGTCAGGGCGTTCTAGTCCCCAAATGGGAGATTGTGCGCCGTCTGCCCCTGGTCCCTGTGCTGCCTACCGTTGATGGGGCTTCTAAGCAGACGGTTCCTCCCACTGAATTGATATTCAACCCTTTGTGTCCATACCTTGCAGCCCCCTTTTACAGCTGAAAACCGCAAGAAAACAATCGACAAAATCCTGAAGGGGAAGTTGGTCTTTCCTCCTTACTTGACGCCGGATGCTCGTGATCTGCTGAAGAAGGTGGGTGCTGGCCTGTCACTTCACTGGGCCCTCAAGGCTTGGAGACTGACTGTCTCTTTCTACATCTCCATTGCAGTAATTAACTGTCATTGCAAAGCCATGGGTGGATGTTTGCCTTGATGTCAAAAGTTCCAGGCAAAAGACTTTGCTGTTCCGTTAATAGACCTTCTATGTGAGGTGGCTGCCTGGGCAGGGGATTCTGGGACCTGCAGTTGAAAAAGGAATTTTCCCAAATTACACTCAACCTTAGAGGCAAGAGGTCAAGCTCAGATTTTGGGACCCGCAGTCGAACAAGGAATTTTCCCAAACTCAACCTTAGAGGCAAGAGGTCAAGCTCACACCTAGCCAGTAATCTTCCCCATCCCCAGTGTGAAACATAGGAGGGCAATTTAAAGCACACATGAGCCTAAGCTGCCTTTTCCTTCTTCTCCTTGCCTCTTCCTGTCCAGTACGTGGGCTGTTACTTACTTCCCACAACACCTCCTTGCCATTTCTAGCATAGCTGCCTGGCTTGCACAACACCCCATAAACGACAACACCCCACAAGTGATACCCACCTTTCTCTTGAGCTCAGAGGTGGCCCTGTCCCTTTTCCCTTTCTCTGCTTGTCCCCATGGTTGCAATGTGGAAGTGCATAGCCAACCCCCCAGTTCCTTCTCCATCACTTCTCAGCAGCTGGTGCCCAAGTTCCTCCCCTCCCCCCACTGCTCCGGTTGGTTTAGCTAGCGGGTCAGAGTTTTTCAGCAGCAGGTAGCAGCTCTGCCTTGAGGTACCCTTTCACTCTGAGAGGGGAGGGGGAGGAAGAGATAGGACCCCACACTTCTGTGGGGGCGGCTTGTCCCTGCCACGAGAAGGGGAAAGGGCCTTTGCCAGGCACACATGGCTAGTGGAGTTGTGGGCACCTGAGTGTGTCGAGGGTCTTGCAGAGACATCAGAATCCCAGCTAGTCCCACACAGAATAATCCTAAATGTAATGGAATGAAGGTCACTGTGGAATGTGCTCTCTGAAAAATTGACATGGTGCCTCAGCCTGAAGAGTCTGATTCTGTCCTATAGCTTTATGCAAACTTTCCTCAGTGTATCTTTTCCCCTTCTCTAGTTCCTCAAAAGGAATCCCAGTCAGAGGATTGGGGGTGGACCAGGTGATGCTGCAGATGTACAGGTATTGTTGGGGGGGGGGGAATGATTATGTGCAGTGACCTGGCTTGATCCAGTCATGCTGTGCTCATGAAACAGAACAAAAATGTATCCACAGAAAGGCCTTCATGTGTTCTGCCAGTGCACAGATTTAACAAAATTGAGAATTCTGAACATCATCCTGCTTTTTTTTAAAGAAACTGCTTCTCAGATATATCACATACCTTGAAAATGTTATGAAGTCAAGGTTTTTTTTAATTCACTTTTTACCAAAGAATGTGTGTTGCATTATCTGCTATAACTTGTGCATGACTTGACAGTACACAACATAACACACATTTTGGCAAGCTATGAATAACTGATGCATATCACGTGGTGTACAATTTTGGCAGCAGTTAATGGTAATTTTGTGGCAGCTTATAGCCACAGCAGTATGTCACATTCTGCTCCCTTCTAATCCAAGATCACTCAGGCAAGAACCTGAAAAATTATCCTTCCTGGTGTGTTGGTTTCCTGCAGACAGAGGAGTTCTGGATGTACCTGCATTCTGAAATAGCGCGGTCCTTGGGGTGCTGTACTGTATTCCTTTACCATAATGTGCACACCACTCCCAATAATCTGCTTACAAACGGCAGGATTGGCCTCTTTTTGTCACAAAGATAAAATAACTGCTGATGGAGTTGTTCTGTAACAAGCCGTCTTTCTGCTTGAGGTTCCAGTGACCAGTGTAGTCACGACAGCATCCTTTACCACCACAGCCTTCATGTTTGTCTGGCTGCTGTACTTGACTGACAGCAGGATAAGCCAGGGAGAGGCAAGAGGGAGTTCAACTCCTATAAACTGTTTGTTTGTTTGTTTGTTTAATTTATACCCCGCCTATCTGGACTACCAGACCACTCTAGGCGGCTTCCAACACAGAATAAAACAATAAACACAAGAATGTACATGATCATTCAATAAAATTACAATAAGATAAAAGAAGAATAAAATAGAGAAGAAATAGAAAGAGAAATTAGGTTTGGCTGGAGGGAAGGTCTGGATGTACAACCATATTTTTAATTGAGTTTTAAAGATTCCCAGCGTAGGGGCCGTGCGAATCTCCGGAGGGAGATTGTTCCAGAGGCGAGGAGACACCACCGAGAAGGCCTGGTTTCATGTCTTCTCCTTCTGGGCCTCTCTTGGCATCAGGCTCCTCAGCCTCTCCTCCTTACTCACACAGGTAATCCGGGTAGATCTTGGTGGGAGCAGGCATTCCGCCAGATATCGAGGTCCTAAGCCGTTTAGAGCCTCATAAGTAAGCATTAGAACTTTGAAGTCGACACGGAAACGAATGGGCAGCCAATGCAGTGCGGCCAGAGTTGGAGAAATGTGTTGGTATTTGCTCACTCCGGTAAGGAGTCTGGCCGCTGCATTCTGCACCACCTGAAGTTTCTGCATCAGCCTCAAAGGCAGCCCCACGTAGAGCACGTTACAGTGGTCTAATCTTGAGATTACGAGTGCATGAACCAAGGTAGTGAGCGCCCCCGTGTCGAGATAGGGCCACAGCCAGGCAATCCGCCAAAGGTGGAAAAAGGCGGTGCAGACTGCCGACACCACCTGTTGGGTTCTCCTCGAGATATAGATGGATCTACCCTCTTAACACCCATTCTGGGATGATTCGTACATCATCTAATGAAGGATGTGCATTTCAGGAACCACAGTGGGTAGCTGTGACTTCTCTCTTTTCTCTTTCAGAGACATCCCTTCTTCCGACACATTAACTGGGAAGATTTACTGGGCAGGAGAATTGACCCGCCCTTCCGGCCGTCCCTGGTACTGGCATCAGCCATTTTTCTCCCCTTTAAAGCCTATCTTTTCACTATCCTATTTCCTGTTCCAGCCCATGGCCATTACTGGGTCTTTTCAGTCTTTTTATCTTGCACACTCACTTTAGGAAGGAAAGCTAACCAAACTAGTATTGTTTAAGTGCTGTGTTGCTTTCCTGTGCAAGAGGAAAAAAGCGAAAGAGGAAGAAGAAAAAATCCCATGCTGAAAAGGACTTTAAATAGATGTTTGTAAATGGCTGCAGTTAGTAATGTTTTTTCCAGCACTGGACTCTTCATAACCTTTTGTTTATTATTTGATGCTGTTGTCCCTCCCCATCTCTCCCTCCACCCCAAATCATAATGATGATTTCTGAGCAGTTTGTCCTAAATTAATTTCCCATGGGCAGTTCCAGCCCGGAACTGTAACATTGATTGATAACAGTGCCATTTCTGTTGCCACGATGTACTGGAAACCTCTCTTGCTTTCGATGTTCTCTGACCAAGATGGCACTCCTCCCATTGTGTAGGTGGTTGCTAAAATGAACTAAAGTGCCCAATCCACCTGTCAGAGGATGACTAATCTGGTATCTCTACATTCCTGATGTATCTGTTTACCAACTCACCTTGCCTCCTCAGCATATAGGAAGGTTTGGTGTCTCTTCCCTCTCGTCGGAATGGCTTCAGGTTCTTTTTCTTTCTAATGTCCCCTTTCTCCCATTTCCATCCACAGCAATCAGATGATGATGTCAGTCAGTTTGACACCCGCTTCACCCGCCAGACCCCCGTGGATAGCCCTGACGATGGCTCCCTCAGCGAGAGTGCCAATCAGGCTTTCCTGGTAAGGGTTGGTCCTGGGAACAACTGCATGCAAGGTTCCCTCCAAGCTGGGCCCCTACGCATCTCTGCCTCCCTGTGCGCAACCTCTTTCACACAGCAATCACGTTGAGTTCCCTGACGGAGTCCAGTGCGGGGGTGGGGTGGGGAGTCATGTGTGCACACCAAGGGTGAAACTGCATGAGAGAGGCAGAGCCCCACCCAGCAGGGCTGAAAATTCGAGGGTACGTTGACTGCATGTGACAAAGAGGTGGCAAAAGGGGTCACCACTTTTCAGTCTGAGGACTGCATTCATATTTTTTAAAAGAAATTTCAAGCTTAAATGTTTGATTTGCGTCTGGGTCCTTCAGCATCACAGCTCCCTGCAGCACTTTATTGGGGGGGGCATTTAAAAAGAAGCATAATTGCCTTGCATGGGGGACAGTGAGGAGGCTAAGGCTTGGAAAAGACGTTTCTCATCTCTGATGCAAAGTGCTGCAGTGTCCTGCCCCTGACCATGGCAGGGCAACAGTCACAGCAACCTCGTAAGTTGCAGTTGTGGCAGGAACTCAGCAGGATTAAGCAGGTGTTTCTCTGCAGGGCTTTACCTATGTAGCTCCGTCAGTGCTGGAGAGCATCAAGGAAGGCTTCTTCTTTCAACCCAAACTCCGATCGCCACGACGTCTCAACAGCAGCCCCCGCACACCCGTGAGGTAATGCTGGAGCTAGGGAGAGTGGAGAGGCAAGGGCTGGAAACATCTTTTAGCCCAAGGACTTAATTCAATTTCTGAGGAAGGGCTTGAGGCCCCCGGTAGTCGGAGCCAAAGACCAAAAGCTGGGATCTAAAGTATCAGCTTGTTTAAAGCTGTTACTGTAAATAACCAAGCCTCAAGAGAAGCACTTTGGCCTTTTAGAAGTATGAGGAGTGGGGAATACAAATGTTAGAAAACCACCAGACAGTGGTGTTATGGGGTGTGGCAATTTAAAGAACCCCAGAGGGTTAGATTCTGCCCCATGGCCAAGGAATCTCATCCCAGCCTTTTAAAGCACTAATAAGGTTGAAAGCAGCTGGGTCTTTGCTTATCAAAAGAAATGCTGCCCTCGGTATCCTGAACCCTGTCAAGTACCTGTGCCCTTCGTGTTCTTTCAAGGCCTCGGAACCATTGCTGTTCTGGTGACAATGGAACCGATGCAGGGAGGGGTGGACATCTGTGGCAGTGAGGTTTGGTTAAGTGTTTGGCTTTGACAATCATTCAAATTCTGCCCTGTGGCATGTTTTGTTTTGTTCTCTTCCCCCTGCTCCCCACCCCCCAGTCCTTTAAAGTTCTCACCCTTTGAGGCCTTCAAGCCAAGCACAGCCGTGGAAGCGATGGAGCTCTCTGCCCCTCCCTTCGTTCCTGTGCCAGAAGTCACTGCCCCGCTGCCTATCAAAACACCATCCGGCAGCAAGAAGAAGAAAGGCCGAGGGCGGGCACGGTAGCCGGGGCATCACGGAGACCAGTGAACTGTCTGCCTGACAGAGGAGAGCTTGGAGGAGGGGGGATACACCTGTGCCTTCATGCCCTGATGGGGATCACATAATTCTCCTCCTCTCCCCATTGCTAGAGGGCCACTCTCCCTCCTAGTTGCAGAGGCCTGCTGTATGGGATTGGTGCATTCCCCAGTGAAGGGACTAATCTCTGTGCAAAAGAGTCTTTCAGTTCAGTATATCATGGCAAGAATAGTAGGAGCTTGGAGCTTGGGTTGTGTGGTCTTTCTGGCTGTGCGTCTCCAGAAGCGTGAGTCAGGCTTTATTGTGATGGTCACAGGGAGGGCATAAGGACTGACATCCCTCACCCCTGCTTTGTCTGTGCCTGTTTGAGGCTCCTCTGTCGTAAAGCCAAGGGGCCAACTCTGGCAGGGCTGAAAGGCTCCAAAGGGGTTCTTTCTCGATGGAGCTGGACCATCCTCTGGGAAACTCTGGACTATCTTACCTTTTCCAACACGCACCTAAGTGCCAAAATGATTGTTTCCCCCCTATATCTTCCTAAACAGCTACCACAAGATCTGTCCTGTTCCTGCTGCCTTATCCGTCTGCTTTTGTCTCCTCACATCCCTAGTAGTGAATGAATCATGATTGGGCGCATGCCCAGAAAATGGGCCGTTTGCTGCAAGGATTAACAGGTTGCTTGTGAAACCAACTGCTATAAATGTACATGGAGCACAAGAAAGGCAAAGTCTTAGAATTAGTCAGGGAGACACTCTGCGTAGTTGTCTGCTTTGATCGTCCCATAAAGAGAAGAGAAACAGCTGAGGTGCAGCCTGCTTCCTCTGCTTTATTGTAATAGGGAGATGGGTTAAAAAAAACACAACAGAACAAAACAGGCTGCTATTTTTTGTGTGTGTGATAAGCTTGACCAAACAGGTAAGGTGGTACAAACAAGAAGGGGAAAACAGGTCAAGCAGGGTGCCATCAGCCTCTGTCTTGTCTGTGGGTCTCAAATCTGTGGCAATGGCCAGGTGGGCCTGGAGTCAAGTGCAGCTATGGACTGTAGCCTTCTTTGGAGTCCTCCTTTGCCTGCTGCTTCTAGAGGGCAGTGGCTTGTGCTTGTTTGCTGCTGTCCTCCCAAGCTGCTGTCCCAGAAAAGGAATGCAGATCACTAAGCAAGACTCCCGCCTTGCCCTCCACGGCCCCTGAGGGCTCTTCTTCCTTTAAGGGGTCCTGAGCGGCTTCCTTTTCAGTTGGCTCCAGTTCAGCTCTCTCGTCAAGCATTTCCTGCCTCTCCTCCTCCTCCTCTGACTCATTGTCAGCCTGCTGGGGGAGCAGCTCCTCTCCCTGCTCCTGCTCCTCATTCTCTGTATCATCCTCCTGCTGCTCCCCAAGATCTTCGTCACTCTGCTTTTCATCCGGGTCCTCTTGGGATAACGCTTCACTTCGGATCTGCACCCAAAGGTTCTGCAAGCGAATGATGAGCCCCCTCATCAGGCGCCAGGGGTGGTACGTTCCTTCTGAGGCGTAGCTCAGGTGCCGCCATGCTAGAAAGAGCAAGAGGAGGAGGAGGAGGAGCGTGAAGACCAGGATGCCCACAATGACATTGTCGCTCCTGTTGCCACTGCCGCCACCTTTCTGTGAAATTGATGCCGTAGATTTTCCTGAAAACAGCAGAAGCTGTGCAGAAAGAGCCTGGGCAAACCTGAGCTTCTGCCAAAGGAAAAGAGTCAATGTCAATGTCCAACAGGTCAAATGAATTTGATCACTCATTTTGTCTCTAGAGCAGTATTACCCTAACCGTGTGGATCATGATGACAGTTCGCTCTGTGAACTCCTACCTGCAGTGTTATTGGTTGGATTCTTTTACAGATGGCAAGCATGCACGTGGAGAAAGGCGGAAGAGCAGGGCACTGTGAAGACTTGGAAGCAGCCAAGCTCTGTATGCTCACCAGTGGGCTGCTGGGGTGAGGAGGGTTAGCAGTTAAACAAAGCCGCGAGTTGTTCCTAGCCTTTTGAGATGTCCAGGAATTTATTGGTACTCTAGTCCAGTGGTCCCCAACCTTGGGCCTGCAGATGTTCTTGGATTTCAACTCCCAGAAATCCTGGCCAGCAGAGGTGGTGGTGAAGGCTTCTGGGAGTTGTAGTCCAAGAACATCTGGAGGCCCAAGATTGGGAACCACTGCTCTAGTAGGTATCACGGTAGATGTTTTGCAGCATCCCTGTAAACTCATGAACCACCAAATGTTTGCTACTTGCTATAATTCAAAAGGATTGTGAAAACAAGTATTCAGGCACAAGCTCCATCTTTGTGGTCATATAGACACATCCACATGACACTCAGGGTTGTGTGTACTCTGCACTAAAAATATAGTTATTATAATGAAATTGTCTGTCAAGAACAGAATAACTCTGCAACTATAAATTATCTAGACAAAGAAAATGTGTGTGTGTTCTTATTTTTCCTGTATCATTCGTTTTGATTTATTTTGCTAGACCCAGGGAGGTTACAGGGAGGCCTTGAATTCCCTCCTTTGGCTGCTCGGTGTCAACTTTAGCTACTACTGTGGCTCCTCAATATACAACAGGTTCTGCCTGTCCCTTTCCTCACAATGATGAAGCAATGCTAAAAACTTAACCTTGTTCAAAATAAAAGCCAAGATTCCCTGGAAGGTGAATTCTGTGTTTGGAGCTGCGCTATACAGGCTTCCTGCCCACTGCATGGAACTCACAGTATTTTGCTCCTAGACACAGCAAATTTGTTTTGAGGGTGTTTCATTGTTGGCTTGTATATCTAACGATCTGCAGCAATGACCGAAAGGAATAAACCATTCATATTTCTGCCTTTGCCAAGAATCTGGAGCCTTAATATATTAGGGGGGGGGGTTAGGGGGAATTGGCCTTCTGCTTCTTCCTGTGTTGCTTTAGCCAGACAAACAAAGTGCCTGCTTGAATAACCTCCCCCACAGAAAATCGTGACCGATGGTGGATTAGTAAGGAGAACAAGTGCCATTTGATCTGCTAAAAGCAAATTGCAAAGAATAAAGTTTGTTTTTGGCTTAGCGAGAGGCTCTGAAGAATTTCGTACGTTAAGAGGTGGGCTGGTGCTTTCATTGGCACTCCAGAAATATTGTCTGAGCATTAATGGTATCCTTCTGATATGTTCCATCCATCTTACCTGTACCACTGAATGGCATTTTAGCAGTGGGGGGAGTGTGATTCTGAGCTGAAGCATGTACCGTATTAGGAATTCTGCAAGTCAAGAAACTTGTCTAGAAGCTATATGGATTGTTATGTGACAACTTTGGTCACCATCAGCTTTTGAAACTTAACTAACATATATACATATTAGGGCAAAAAACCTTTCCATTTTAGAGAAACCTTTGCTTTTAAGCAGCTGCAGTTCTTGGCCTCAAAGACTTGTTAATTTGGAGTATTTTTCCACGAACAAAAACTGGAGGAACGGTCACTGTGGCGAGCTCTGCTGTATTAACAAACAAGTAGCTCTCCTTTCTTGAGGCACCGGCCCCAGCAAGGCCCAGAAACAGCTGAATTTTCTCTCCTAGCCTAATGCTGCACACTGTTAGTAGACAAGAAGTTCTGTAGAGACCACAAGCCCCACTGCTCTTGTTTCACCCCTGTAGAAGAGGTTTGAAATGTTTGCATTCATGCCCTGAATTTGCTGCACTGTGTGCATTAGTATTTTCTTCACTATCATCATCATCATCATCATCATAAACTTTCATTTCCTCTGTTAACAGTGAGATCCGTAATAAGGTTTCCTTTGGAACTATTTTTTGATTTTTTTTTTCTAGCCAATTGATCACCTCTTACCAGAATACTACTACTTTCGGACAAACCACATGTGTTCCAACGTTCCTTTATGCCCACACTTTTCTCCAGCACAATTCTGGTATCTCTCTAATTTACTATTACTATAGTACAATAGGTATTGTTCTGTTAGGCTATTTTGAATGGACTGATAGAAATAAAAATTTGATTTTAAAAAATAATCTTCATCATTTTAGAACTACAGATCTGGAATGTACCCCATGGATCATCTAGTCTAGCTCCTATCAATGAAGTACAGTGAGGAATCAGTCCCAGCCAGAAGCCTAAACCACTCAGCTATCCAGCAGGTCACAGTAATAATCTTAACTGCTGCGCTGGAAAGGACCCTCTGGATCAATTTGTTCCAGATTTAATGTGTTCAAATCCTCGATCTTTGGCTACTTTCTTGATGCCTTCTCCCCCTCAATGGTATAATTTCCCCATACTTAAGGGGACATAGCCTTCAACAGGCTGGAATTATGGGGTCTTTTCAGATATTCCACATAGTTTGCAAAGGAGCCAAGAGCCAGTTAACAGTAGGCTTCAGCACTGGGAAGTCCATTAGCCTGGAGGCATAAGTGCCGTCTTATAACCAACACACTTCACTGAAGTACAGGGTGGATAACACTTTCCCTGTCAGCGAAGGGGGCCTTTGCTGAGAGGAGAATTTGCCAGGAGGCAGAACCAGGTGTGGCTAGAGTCAATGATGGGCCAGCTAGCGGTATCAGCAGGAGAACCCTCTCCCATCTCCCACTCTCTCCCACACATTCCCTTTGGCCTTGATTGGATGGCTGGCAGAGGATATTTGAAATTGGGACCATGACTGCAAGTTGCACAGCACTGTTACAATACTCAAGGGAGGCAAATGGCAAAAGAAATGAGCAGTCATGAGCTTGTCAATACAATTTGTCAGGAGCACAAAGAAGCAACATAGAAGGGCGGGCTGTGGAACCATTTTGAAACTGCAACGCCTAGTTTTACCACCACCAAAAGTAACCAGAATGCAGCCTCCACATTTAAGAGCTCAGCTGCTCCCAGTGGTCTCCCAAGACATGAATGAAAAGAACGTAGCACCCAAAGCTTCCCCATCATTATTTAAATATTTCCCACACTTGTCTTTCTGGGTTAGAAAGGGGCAGAGGCAACACTGCCACTCCGCCAATCAATCAATCAATCGATCGATCGATCGATCAATCAATCAATCAATCAATCAATCAATGGGGTAGAGGCAACACTACCACTCCGCCGATCTATCGATCAATCAATCAATCAGTAAGCACAAAAGGGGTGTGCTATAAAGTTCACTGCTATTCTAGTAGCAGCAGCAGAGTAAAACATCAGTACCTCTGACCAAACAGGAATAGGTATGCCTGCATCTTGAGACCTTAGGGGCACGAATCAAGCGACGCAAGCAGCCATTCTTATCCTTCCTACTCATCGCTGCAGCCCTTCTTATCTTCTTACCCAAGGAGAAGAGAGAGCCTGGCACCTTCCACTTGAAACTAGAGTGCAGCAAGCAGAAGAGCCAGGCTATGAGAGAACAAAGGATGGGGAAAAGGTTTAGCCAAGCACTGGTTCTGGCTCAGCTATTAACAATAAGGCGAGACATTGGTACGCATGTCCCAGTTGCCACTGCCCATCCTTCGTGGGCCAGACGATCTCTTTTCCCCCAACACCACTTCCAAATTCATCTTTTCCAGCTCGTTAAGTCCTGGCAACTTACCATAATTAGGTGTAGAGCACTTTTCTCACTGTGGTGCTGCACAAAGCCTTGAGTAAAATGAAACTTTGCAAGTGCCTTAGGGTGAACACAAAGGGGGTGGGGTGAGGGAGGGCTTCCTGCCTATCTCTCTCAGACTGTGCAGAGAAGTCACTGCAATTTTTTCCCCCTAGCACTCTATGCAAAAGGCTACTCTATATTCAGGGTAATTCAGAAACAATGCGGGGAGCAGTGGAACTTATCTTTATCACTAATGAAATTCCCTTGTCAAACGAAACCCATATAGGGTATCCAATTAAGCTTTATGGAGGAACAGGAGAAGGGGGAAAGACAGAGACTAATCCAAATTAAGTCAAAACCTATTATTAGATTTGTGTTCCCGTAGCAAACATATTTTTCACTTCAGTATAAAAGGAGGAATCAGACATATGTGAAATATACCAAATTAAGCACATTGGTCAATGATCCATAAACGATCCACATGATCACTGTAGTTTAGTATAGTATGGTGCTTCTCAATGTTTGAGTCTCCAGTTCTTTTGGAGCCCCCAGTTAGCAAGATGAATGATCAGGGATTCTAGGAGTTGTCAACCACTGGTGTTGGGAACTCAGCTTATGCCATTGTTTTTCCTTAGCTTAACAAGCGCACCATTTAACGACGAATCCGCATAGCGACATGTTTTTTGTGATCGCTAATGTGATCACATTGCGAAGTTTTACATAGGGAAAACATCGCATTGCGATGATCGGTAAGCGTTTCGCTAACCGATCTTCGCATTGCGATGTTTTACAAACAGCTGATCGGCGGTTCCAAAATGGCTGCCCGCGTTTTCGCGCCCTATGGGTTTCCCCCCCCGCCGCATAGTGATGAATCCGGATAGCGACGTTAATCCTGGAACGGATTAACGTCGCTATGCGGGGCACCACTTATTAGAATAAAGTCTCTTTGCAGCCAGATCACATTGTTGGTTCATATTCTGCTTGTGATCTACAATAACTCCAAGATCCTTCTTGCATGTAATTACTATTACTGACCCAATAACCCCATCTTGTAACTGTGCTCTGCCCCTAGGTGTAGAACTTTGAACTTATCTCTGTTATATTTCATTCTGTTGTTTTCAACGCTGTGCTCAAGCCTGTCAAGATCTTTCTGGATTTTGTTTCGGTCTTCCAGGGTATTAGCTGCTCCATCCAATTTGTATCATACACAAATTTGATAAGCATCCAAGTCATTAATAACAATTTTGAAGAGCTCCAGCCCCAGAACTGAACTTTGTAGTACCCCACCTGTTACCTCCTCCCATTTTGAGAAGGAGCCATTGATAAGCACTCTCTGATTCTGTAACCAACTGTTCATCCACCTGATAGTTGTTCCAGCTCACATCTAGTTGGTGTCCTAATCCGAATACCATGGGGCACTTTGCTGAACGCTTTGCTAAAATCAAAAGACGTTATGGCTACAGTATTCCTCCCATCTATCAGAGAGGTTACCCGGTCCAAAAAAATGAGGTAAGCTTTGTCTGTCAGGATTCATTAGTTCCTGACAAATCTGTGTTGGCTTCTAGTCTCCAAAAAAATGAGGCAAGCTTTGTCTGTCAGGATTCATTCGTTCCTGACAAATTTGTGTTGGCTTCTAGTTATTACTGCATTGTTTTCAAGGTGCTTGCAGAAGTATCAGAAGGACAATGACTGCAAATGACACTCCCATGTGAGAGAAATATAGGGGACATACAGATAAAGAGGAAGAGGAGCATAAACATAGGTATATAAAAGTACTGTAAGCTCAGCATTGCAACTGCTGCCCTGCACAAGACAACAAGTGTAGACTGGAAGCATAGTCTTCGCCATAGCCCATATCTTTTGGGCCTTATAGTCACATACACCAGAAAGAAAAGAGAAAGGGTTAATTTCTCAGCTCAGTCAGAATTTTATATTTACTCACTGAGCAGAAAGCACAAACCGGTACATATCTATTGATGTGTTGAGCCTGTGCACACATTTGCACTCATTCTACAGAGTGCTGTTTCCTGCAAGCTAGGTAGTACCAACCACAAACTTCCTGCCACTCACAGAACAGCTCTTGTTGCTTGGCCCAGGGACAGGAAGAGAAATGCACCTGCCACCCACCAGCCCTGCTCTCCTGTGGAAAACTGATGCTCAGCTGGTGCCTGCAGTGCACACAAATTTCTGTAAAACTCATCTTTGCATTTACCTATCTAGGACCATCCAAAGGATGTTGCTAAGAGCTTTTGAAAGAGCAGAGGTGAAAACAAAGCAACTGTATGTACACACAGTAATGAACAGCGTTGATTGGTATGTGCAAAGTAGGATCCCAAGGTGGCATGAGAGTTCCAAAACAACTAGTTTGAAAGAGGAGGAACATGCAGGAGTACACAGCTCTTTAAATTCCCAAGCCTTCAGACTTTAAGGACTTTTAAAACTAGATGACCAGAATTTTGAATTGCCCTCTGAAGCACAAAAGCCACACCCTCCATTAAACAAGAAGGTACGCATGCACACACACACACACATGTGCACATATGAATACAGTTTGGAAGAGACCTTGAAGAACATCCCAGAAAAGCTAGTTTCCAAGTATGGTTCAAAAGGCAGCCCCACACGGGACATGTTTTGTGTGGCCAATGCACACAAAACTGTGGCCACATCAGACTTTTGCAGGAAAGGCCTCTTTTGGTACCTCAGCCACAGCTGTCTTGTGACCATCTAGGATCAATGCTGGATCCAGGAGTTCCTCTAAACCTCAGACTTCATTTTTTAAAACAAATGCCACTTTGTCAAAAACAAACACTGTCACCATATGGACCTTGCTACCAAGAGAATCTGTGTGCAGTTTGTTAGCCTACATCTAATGAATCAGATTGCATACATTAATTCAAGACCTTCATCACCTCTCTGGAAGCTGACAGGAAAAAAAGAGATGGGTACTATCTATATATTGGCAACATACCACATTTCCTGATGATTTCTCCCAGCAGTTTCATGCAGATATAAAGTAAGACAGGAAAGGGCATAGAATCCATATGCAACAAATTGACATTACAAAGAACCATTTGACAGAACCCCAAATGCAAAGCAAAACAGTAATCCCTCAGGCCCACTTCTTTGATCTGGCTAGGAAACAAGATGGCGTTTATAAAGGATGACTCACATGTTCCCCACCCCTGCTTATGAGCCACTGGAATTTTATCCTAACAAGAGGGAAATTGTCACCTAGAGTAGATTAGGTTGAATGACACTGGCACAAAATATCCCAAACTAGAAACAATGCATTTCCTGTGAAGTATTTATAAATCTCCACACCATTTGCCACTCTACCTCTGGCTAATCAAGTCACAATAGGCACAGATTCAAGAATGTTGTGTACACAGACTGAAAGCAATCCATAAAACAAATACAAGTGTGCACACACATATAGAAGCAAGAACTGCACAGCTATTCAAAGGCCCCAATCAAACTGCAGTCCCAAGTGATTTTATTTGCAAAGCACTTCACAAACTGACCACAGCAGACTCTGAATGTTCACAGATCCCAACATGGCTGCATGGGCTAAAATATAACTAGTGCCTTGCCACTCTGAAAGCTTCTGGGGACAGAAGCAATGCAGGGATATTACATTTGTAGTTTCTTGGGGTGGGGAGGGGCTAAATATCCCATAACTCTATTCTGGCAATCTCACCTGACAGATAGACACCCAACATTCACAAAATTAAAACGAGAGACAAGAATTGTTAAAGAGTTGCTAAATATGGAAACAATTAAATTATCATTTAAAACTGATTATGAACAAAAATGTTCTAAAATTGTCTCAGATACGCAGTCCAGACAAACCAAATAGGGACCTGTCAAAGCAGTATGATCTCTTCCTTGCCACCCCTGTTGTGGCACAGGCTTCAAACAGTGGTCTGTTGGATGTGTCATGAACCTTCCTCTAGCAGTGCTTGAGGCACCATCACCCCAACCATTTCGTTGCTCCGTTCTGCAGCAAACCCACTGGTGAGCTATGACCAGAGGGCTGTGATCAGGAGCACAAGCCTCCAGCTACATTAGAATGAAGTGTATACCCATACTTGTGGAGCATGGTCCTCTTGGTTTCCATGTGCCCCAACTGGGCTATGTTTGAAGAACTCTGGAGTTATTAGGAAAGACAGCGCAATTCTTGTGGATGCCTTGTCAAAAAAATAGGGATGGAGGTTTGAGAGATTTGAGCTGGAAAAGAGGATCTATGGAATCTTACCAGTCTGAAGTTCATATAGATAGGGGGTGGGCAGTATTTGCTTTGCGCTTACTAGAGCCTAGAGGTCTACCAACCAGCACCGGGCACAAAACGTTTCAGGCGGGCAGGCATAGAATGAAAACTGAAGCAGCAGCATGCCTCTGGGCACACACTCAACTAAGACATTTACAGTCAGTAACCAGATCCAAACTCCTAAGTCCTTTCACTCCTTCAGTCCACCTGATCCCTCTCCCACCACTTTTCTCAGCAGTCTAATTTGTGAAGAAGGAAGGTTTATGCTGTTGTTGACGATACCCATTTCCAATAGTAGCAGGTTTGTGACTTAAAACCATGAGGGACAGCTTTTCTTCAAGTACCTTGGATATACTTCAGTGTCAACCAAGGAGGAAGAATTCTGTTTCCCTATCCATCACAACATAATTCAGGGCATCCACAGAAATAATTTGGTGGCAGGAGTCAAAAGTCTGTTAATGGTACTTACAGAGTTTTGCCCCGATTGTAGTTTTTAGCTATGTACGTTTAAAGGCAGACAAAGTTTAGAGGGGGCAGGGAGACACAAGCACCTTCCCCCACTTCATTGAGTGAAATCTGCAGGTCTTGCCCAGGCTGTTGTCCGTATACATATGAGAGAAAATAAATCTATATCTTGATCTCTGACTCAAGTAGTATTTGGTCAATAGTTCTACCATCACTTCTGTCTTCCCAGCTGAACTGGAGAGGGAAATAGCAAGATGAATGAGGTTACTTGGAAGAAAAGTTACTCCCTTCTGGAAAGTTTGGAGTAACTGAGACTTTGATTGATGGACTAATTTTGAAAGTTTTGGAAAAATAGGTGATGGATATCAAATGGCATAGAGAATTTAGTTATTGTGGCTTAGCTTCTTTTAGGAGACAGTTATGCTCTTTGCCTTTTGTTTCTGTTCATGGGGTTTTCTTGGCAAAGATACTGGAGTGGCTTGCCAGTTCCGGCTCCAGGTGGATCGTGTTTAGTCAGAACTCTCCACTATGACCTGCCCGTCTTGGGTGTCCCTGCACGGTGTAGCCCATAGCTTCTCTGAATTACTCAAGCCCCTTCACCATGACAAGGCAGCAATCCCTGAAGGGGCTTGAGAAGACTCCCTGGAAAAGACCCTGATGTTGGGAAAGTGTGAAGGCAAGAGGAGAAGGCAATGACAGAGGACAAGATGGTTGGACAGTGTAATTGAAGCTACCAACATGAATTTGACCCAACTCTGGGAGGCATTGTAAGACAGGAGGGCCTGGTGGGCTCTGGTCCATGGGGTCACGAAGAGTGGGACACAACATAACGACTAAACAACAACATGCTTTTTGCTCTTTAGTCTGCATATGCTCTAAAACTATACTTCATTTCAGCTGTATTGTAAGTATACATAGCATAGCACAGCATAGCTAGCTTTTTTTGTTTTAGAACTATTCCTTAATTGCCCTAATCTTAAGTTTTTTAAATAAGTATTGGCTTCACAAATTTTGATTGTTTCTGGCTTTTGAACTGAGTTTTGAAACTGCTTTGAATTTCATGGTTGTTGTTTTTTTTTTACTTTTTGCAACACCTTTAATAAAATAATAACATTTTAATAACTGTAGTCTGGTTAATTTGGGAGTAGAGGGTTTGGTTAGTACTAAATTCAAGTCTTACCTCAGGCATCTACTGGATCCTTTCACATTTGTGGGCATTTTGACTTGCCTACCTGGCAAGGTTGGCGTGCAAGTTAAAGTGCGCAGCCTTGCGAGCTTTAGTATTCACTGGATCACTCAGGAGTCAAGGTGGATCAGGGTGTTGGGAAGGGACTAGACAGGAGGATTTTCCCCAGCCACCAGCACATTGACCTCCTGGAAGCCACTCGCACCAAGAAAAGTCAAGGTAATGTGGTTAAATGGTTTGTGTGGACCTTTCTGTCCCAGTCTTAAACTTGACACTCCTATATTGCCCCCTTAAAGAAACCAGTTTGCCTTAGAAAATAAGACCAGCAGGATGGGGAGATCTGATAAGAGTTTACACTGCCGTCCTGTAGAACTGCTCCTGCTTCATTCAAAAGGATTAACATGCCTTCTAAGCTCATTTAAATTCAGATTAAATGTAGGCCTGTGTTGCTATTCAAAAACAAAAACATAGCTGCACATGGGAAAGGTCTGAATTTTCAGGAAGGATATCTTCAGGAAATGCAAACCCACAATGGCATCCAGTATAAAAAGCAGAGCTAGCCAAGCAAACTTCTAGTCAGGAATGTGAATGTTACAAGTGCAGGTCAAATCCCCATGTGATTTATTACATACACTTAACTTTCCACATAAAGATTTTATTTATTTATTTATTTTAATTATTTAACTTATATGCCGCCCACACTACCCGAAGGTCTCTGGGCGGCTTACAGCATTGATTTTCTGAACATTTCCCCAAATGACTGTGTATTTCCTAAGCTAGGAGGGACCCGATTTCTTCAGCTTTAGCTAAGCTGAAAAGCAGAAGCTGCTGCGCTGTGCTTGGTGTTCCCCTTGTCACAATAATGTAAGCAAAGCCATTATCAGTCTCCTCAAGGAGACAAATGAAACATTCCAAAAGTGTGAACATACCTTGAATTCATTGTGAGTTCTGTGGGAAGGAGGAGGAGAGGGGAGGAACACACCTTTACGCAGAACTGTGGCTTTATAAAGACATTTATTTGGAATGAAAATATAGATATTGATCCTGAACAGTTTCCCCCCCTCCTCCCGCCATTTTTTTTTAAAGTTTCGTCATAGCCTGCTATTTTGAAGGGCTGAAGAGGGAGTCGGGGAAGAAGTGGTCCTAGACACCACAGGTTTTGGGCTGTGACTGGTTAGCAGGGTTTATTTTTTTCAGTCTGACTTCTGTCGTAATCTCTGTGGTCTTTTTGTAGAAATAAAGTAAGTGCAGGCAAGGAAGTGGAAGAATCCTCAGTGGGATCTTAGTGGTCCTAATAGGGAAAAGGGGGAGAAAAAAAGACGCGTAGCCTCCCTCAGCTCGGAGTCATAGGAGGCACTAGCTTCTAACAACCAAACCCACATGCCAGAAGAGGCTGGGCAGGAATGCCCCAGCCTTCTTCTCCTCAGTGGAAGGCATAGGCATACGAGCCTGAAGCATCAGTCAGCCCTGAGATCCACCAAAGGGCACACAGGCCAATGCCAACCATGGAAACAGGAGAGGGGAGAGGGACCCTGGGGAGTAAGGCAAAGGGGCAGACATGGGGAGGCCAGCATATTGCCCTTTATAACAATAACAACAGGAAGAGGAGATTTGGTCCAGGACAAAGACCCAAGAAAAATCCCCAGTAGCAGCAAGAGAGGGCAAGTCCCTGTCTCACATCACAGGGCAAAGGATGAGGCAGTGTCAAGGGATGACTGGCAGCTCAAAAAAAATAAAAAATAAAGATGAAGTGGGTATGAAGATCTATGTTGGTGAGGCCTCCTCGGTGGGGAAAGTTCCCTTAGACGTCACCGTTCTCCATGCGGCTCAGCTGCTCCTCTAGCCGTGCGATGCGCTCCCCCTGGGCAGCCACCAGCGCTCGCAGCGACGCCACCTCACGGAGCACCTCTTCAGTGATCTGCCCTCCTCCATCCTGTGAACCAGACATTGGTGTCATGCTCCTTTTCCAAAATGCCCTTCCATTCTCGGGCAGATATACTTGGGGGGAGGGACGGGGGAGAGTAGAGTTTAAGAAATCAACAGCCGTAAATGCTCCCAAGTTCAATCCACACAATTGTGCACATTATGTGTCTCCCCCCCCCCCAATGGAAACCACAGGAAGGAAACAGGCTGTTGTATCGCCAAACAAAGGAAACCCCAGGAGACTCACTGTATACAACCTATTCTGTTTTTAGGAGCCTGGCTTACAAGACATTTAGTAATGAGTGTGAAAGCCTTCTGAATTACTGTACTGCAAATTGCAAAAGCCTCTGCGTAGGTAACTAGAAGCACATCTCGCTTTATCACAGAAGCATCACCCGGCCTCTTTCAAAGAACTGAAACCCCCTTTTATCCACAAAAGGAGAGAAACTTGCTTTTTCGTAAGCAGAGGGCTGCCCAATCTCCAGCTGAAGTTCAAAAAACTCACCACCCTGCCCTCTAGTAACTTAACCGTCCTACTCCCAGCACTGCGTTTTTACCCTTCTGCTCCTCCCTCCCTGCAACTCCAGGAAGAGAAGAGCCAGCCCAGTCACTCGACCAATCCTCTCATCCTTGCTCTGGTGCAAGCACCCAATCTGTACATACCCCACTGGCAGTGCTGCTGACGCTAATGGCAGGTGCGGCAGCAGACTGAGACATGGCACTGGGGTGTGTGGCACTCAGCCCGGCGCTGGGGGTGGCCGCGGGCCGGCTCTCGTGCAGCAAGGTCCTCCGGTTGACTTTGAAGTCCCGCTGCTTTGTGGGCACATAGGCTTCACGCAAAGAGATGAGGATGGGTGGTGCCATCTTCCCAGCCACCCACTCCTCAGCTTCCATGGCAGGCTCTGGACCAGCTGTATCTGGATACAAGTCATCCTGGAACAGATCTGACTGCAAAGAGACCGTTGGGTTAGCACTGGGCTGCAAAGCTCCCTATTGCAGTGCCAGGATCCACTCTTCTCCCTAGCAAACATACGATACAAGGTAAACTACCACCGACTTTACAAGGAGACATTCACTCCCGCAGAATGAATACAGGCTGAAACTGGAGGGAAGCTGTTCCAAGACAGGACATGCTTTGAACATGAGAACCTGAAGCGTGAGCCTTCCTATCTCAAAACCAAGGCCAGGAAGCACTAATCACTCTAAACAGTAGCAGGACAGGCCTAAGAGGCTTTTGCTCAAGATCACTATAGGGATTAAACAGCAAACATCTTACCTCTTCCATGTTTCAAAGCCTGTTTGAATTAGGTACAGTCTCTCCTGCTCAAAACCTTTGATACTAATTAATTAAGGATATTAATACTAATCCATCAAGGAGATTTGTATCCCAACTTATTCCTGGGTTCAATTCATAAAGCAAGTTTACAATAGTCTGAGCAATTAAAAACAACATATAACACTACAAAACCACCCATCAGAATCAGAATTCTGCAGTTCAATAGACCAGGAATTCTAAAAAATGGATCCCCAAATGGGGTTGGACTACAACTCTAAGAATCCCTGACCATTAGCCAGGTCAGCTGGGGATTCTGGGAGCTGCAGGCTGTCAGAATGTGAAAAGCTGAGTTTGAGAACCATTGCAATAAACCAATACCCACTAAGGCCTGAATCCAGTTGCTAGTCCTAACTAGAGCGGACCCACTGAATCAGTGGGATTTACATAAGCAGGGGCAGACTAGTCAGCAACAGGGTCTGTGGGCCTGCTCTCCTTTGGCTACCAATTGGATTTAGGCCTTCTCCCCTACAGTAAGGTGAGCAGTGATTTTCACTTGGCATGGAAACAAAGCCAGCACTGGCATGTCAGACCTCCAAGGAGAGAGCATTCCACTTCTGAGGCAAAGCAGCTGAAAAAGTCCTCTTCTTGTCCCCTTCTGATGTACCCCAAGCAGAAGGACACAGAGAAGGGGACCCCAAGCAAACCTTGATAACTGTACCCATTTACTGTATATGTGAGGAGGCAGTCCCTTCAGTATCAAGGTCCTAAGCTCTTTCAGACTGTGAACATGGCTGAAGAGAAGCTCCTTATAATGAAAGGTAGACCGACCCTTTATAATAAGCACCCACCTTTCTTGGCACTGTCATAATAATGGGTTCACACTTGCGCTCATGAAGTTTGTAAAACCTGCAGAAACAAAGAAAGAGAAAAAGGGAAGGGAGAGAGAATGCAGTTAACAAGGAAGGTGCAGAGGAAGCATGTCACTGATGCTGCATACTAAAACTACTTGTCTCTCCCTGAGTACTAGCTTTTGTGCAACTCCAAATATCTGCTTTCTCTGGCAGCCAACTCCCAATACCTGGCAATCTCACACTTGTTGACATCCAGACCCCGTTTGGGCATCCATCCCATGCCTCGCTGTGGCTCTTTGCTAGTGAAGGTGTTCAGGAAGTGGATGTAGGGCGCTTCCGACGTGATCTCAAAGTAGCGGATGCTTGAATCTCCCTAGGGAAAGGAAATGGTTTGAACGGCAGCTGACAAAAAGCAAGGAATGCCATACAGGAGGGAAAGCCAGCCCCTCTAGATTTAAGCTACGGCCAAACGAGATGCTCAGCCAACAGGGGCTAGCATCTTGATGCTTTTTACCTGGATTTTACAAAAGCAGCCATAGCTGAATCACAAGGTGCTGCCCACATGTTGGTTATGTACCCAGTCATGTGACTGGGATGAAACCAGCATGTGGCCAGCAATGGCTGCCTCCATGATTTCCCTGCTGCGAGGAGTTAAAAAAACAACAAGAAAAAAACTTGGCCATGTTCTCCCACATGCCCATGAACAATTAGCACCATCTTGTTCATTTCTCCTTAGAAAAGAAACCACTGGCTGTGGAAAGGGGTAAGAAAGACCTACCAGTCTCAGACAGAATTAAAAGTATGTGGAAAGAGCCCGCCCACTCTCCTCACATCTCTAAATGAAAGCATACCTTGCCACAGACATAGACAACATTGGTGTCAGGGTCATAGAAGGGAAGAAGGGCCCCATTGCTCGAGTCCAGCTCCTGCAATGCCATCGGCTCCTCCAGGTTTTCCTGCAACATACATGTGCATACACAAAAGAGAAGGACAGAAATGTTATGTCACTGAGGGCCTTGGAAAACCTTTTCATCCTAGCACCTAATTTCTATTTGGGAAGGGTCTCAGGAGCAATACTGCAGTAGCAGGCAGGACCAATGCAAAATGGAATAGGCCAAAGCTCATTTTTACCAAAGTGAGCATCTTCACACCAAGCATATGAAGCAAAGCTAAATTTTGTGCATGCTGACTCAAGAGTAAGGTGAGAACAACCATTTTCAAGGCTTCAAATCCAAGTTCAGTTTCACACAACAGCACACTCCCTCCCTCCCTCGATTCATCCATGGTTTTGAAACAGGGAGGGAACCCACATGTATATAGCAGATTTCTTGCTCTAGACCTTTCCACGACCCACAAGGCAAGGCTAAAGAGAAGACAGCAAGGGCCGAGATTGCAAGAAGAGCAGCCTTTTATTTATCCATTTTGTGCAAATATAAGGAGGAAGAAAACACCTTGGATTGGATAGAGAGTTCTCCTCCCATGGCCCACTAGTTGGGCCATGCTGGCTGGGGATTCCGGGAGATGTGTTCCAAAACAGCCACATTGCCCTTCCTGGAGAAGAAAGCACCTTTCACTCTTTCAGGTCCACTTTTTCACTCACCGGGTCCCAGAGTGCCAACTGCCGCTCACTCATACGGCTGAAGCCTGTGGTGAAAATCTTCCCGTCAGCCAGGAAAATGGCCCTCATGGGCCGTGCTCCTTCATGGGCCCTCTCCTTCTCCTGTGGAGTGGACAGACAACAGGCAGGCAAGAAGTGAAGCAAGCTTCCTAAATCAACAGAAAAAATATTCTAGCCTGGCTTAGTTCCAACATCTATAATGCTGAGTCCAAACTGGCTTAGCTAGTACAATAAGCATCACTCTTGCCCACCATCGGTCTGGAAAATATTGACTTGGCTTTCACTACATTTACAAGAAGCAACAGTCCCGTGGTAGATAAGAGTCGGCAGTTTGTATATGGCAGGACCAAGACTCAATCCCAAGCATCTCCCATTTTAAAAAGAGAGTGTCTCCAGTCACTGGCCCGAAACACACATCTGGCAATCACTGCTAACGAAAGCAGGCAAGATGGACCCAAACTAGGTGGGCAAAACACAGCCTTCCAGATGTTTCGGCATACAGTTGCCATCAATTCTAGATAGCATACTCAGTGGTAACGGATTCTAGGAGCTCCAGTTCAAAACTACAACTGCCTATTTGGGACAAGTAAAATGGTATGATTCCAGGGATGCCCAGAAGAAGTACATGTCCCCTCAATGGATGCAGTAAAGGTATACTTTTCCCCCTTTGGAAAACAGCTGCTCCAGGTGGGACAATAAAGGCTGGGTGGGTCTCATGTTCTCATTCACAACAACACTGAAAAAATCTCACCCCTCCTTCTCCCAGAACAACTATTAGCTTGAGGGGAAAAAAATTAACTGGTAAAAATATCTAGAACACATATAGCCTTTGGTGCAGGAGGAAGAGTTCAACATTCCTTTCCCTTCACTGCAGTCACAATGATGTTTTCTCCATCCCCTCACAGATGTTTTTAAAGGAGAAAAAAGGGTATGTTAAATGCATTCACACATTAAAATGCTAAATATGGTTTGGCTCCGGTTTGCATCTCCTTTTTGGCTCTCAGGGAAAGACAGCTCCCTAATGAGTCTGCGCCCTATCAGCAGCAACCCATCTGTGGTGATGAAACTACAGAGAGTGCCTCCAAACCTAGATAACAAATCAACGTGTCCAGTACAGAAAAACCAGTCCAGAGTGTGCCCTGTAGCCTGAGCAGAGCTAGATACTGTTTGAGACAGATCCACCATCGTCATGGAGAACATGTAGCCCTGAGCCTGTCTGCAGAGGGCTGTCTCTACACGGATGCTGAATGAAGCCAAGAAGACTCCACAACCACATGGAAGTCCAGCTTAGTCAGCTCAAGAATAAAGACTCTTCAATATTAGGATGGGCAATATGTCAACAGAATCCCTCTTCTGCCTCAACCTCCACTTTCAGGTATATACACACAAGCCCAGCAGACTTTCAAACTTGGCATCTTTTGGGGGAGGAACCAGGCCAGGTCAGTGTAACTCTACTACCCCTTGCTCCCCAGATCTCACTCAAAAAGGAACAGAGAGCTGGACAGGTAGAGCTGAACGAGATTAGGAATACCATAGGCCTCCTCCTATGTGCAAAGACACTCCCCCACCCTGACCTCTAAAATATGTACAGTACTTGTTTCTATAATTGTATATCCCACTTTTCTCTTGCTTACTCAACACCCAAGGTATATGATGGCAATTAAAAACAATCACTCAATAACAACACTATGGTGTGGTGTTTTTAAACTCTAAAACATGCACATAATACAATAAACATGGGAGTTGTCAGCAAGCAGCCCTGGGGCACCTCCAGCCACACTGAGCCACTTCCTTTGCCCTCCCTTTCGAACAGATTGGCAGGTACTTGAGACAATGATTCCAATGCTGTGGCCCAAATCTGCAAAACTAGTTCCTTCCAAGAGATAAACAGTTGGCTACAGTAGTCCTGGCTTCGACCTCCACTTATTCTGCATTGCTTTAAGCTGAGATGCTTAACTTATCTCTTGTGTTTCAACAGTCAATTGATGGCTACGGTTTAAAACTCACAACTACCAGGATGCAAGAGGGGAAAGGGACCACAGCTGATGTGGAGCAGGTCAAGGCTCTACGGCTATTTGAGACCATCGCTCGCCAACAGCCAGAGGTTGAGCCATGTCTCAAGCACACAAAGGGAAGGAGCGGGGGGGGGGCTCTTGCAGTTTTCCACAGAAGCCCAGTGGTGAGAAATCTGGAAGGTGCTACTTCTTCCTCCTTCAACAACATGACCACCTACTGCTGCTTAACCACCGATTGCCGTGTACTTCTCAAAGACATTTGAGCTCTTCCTTCCAAAGTGTGACAAACTGGCAAAGCATGACAGAGTCCAGCTTGTCCCCAGGCTGGTGCCCTCCCATTTACCAGCTGGAAGACTGTGCAAGTTGTAGCCCAGGACAGTGAGAGGGTGTAAGGTTGAGCAAGGCTAACTTAATCCATCACTATCCAAAACTAACCAGTCCTCAGCCATCCTCCAGATTTCAGATCAACCAGCTCAGCAGAGAGCAAAAGAGCGAATTTTGGGCTGAGAGGCTGAAGCGCTTTGAATTGTACAAGACTGGGCCTCATGCCAGGCACAGCTGGGGGATTAAATCAGGGAGGGCAAGCCAGCCTCATTGGCACCAAAAAGATCAATTCAATAAAAACAATTTCCCAATCCTATAAAACGTTGTTGCATGCCTCCTTCCTTCCTACCTATCTATTTTGCCATGGGTACAATGCTTCCAGCATAACGCCATTGACACTACATGAACTCCTGCAAGGGTGTGTGCTCCAATTTTTGTAAGGATGTATACACAAGTAAATTCATCCATTTGTGAACACCTCCACACTTCATTTTTGCTAGAAATGCAATTACAAGATCTAATTTTGCCCACTGATAAATATTAATTGAACATTAGTTAGCACCTCTGACTAACATACATTCCGAATATTATTTCATTTTACAGGGTTTGGTAAGAATTAAGCTTCTATAAACACAAACATACAAGGAAAACCAAAACAAAGGCCACCAAAATAAACTGTAGAATTCCATGAAGAACCCACTAGCACGTCTGCTGTATAAACATCAGCCCTGGGCAGAAGGCAAGTGTGAGCTTGCAATCACCAAGCTGCTGCAAGTTTAAAACATTGCTGGTTAGATCAGGCATGATCAAATTCTAATAGCCAAGCAAAGCATGGGAACAGGGAGGGACAAAGCACAGAGATCAATGCTCACCTAACAGGATGGAGAGGACTCCCCGACAGCCAAAGGCATCCTACAGCAGAATAGGCAATCTTTGGGCCCAGTAAAAGTAATGAACTGGTGGCTGGGGAAGGGGGGGCATGGAACCTTTTAGAGCTCATTGGGGACCACAGCCCACTCTTGCTGCTGTTCAGAGTTCAACATCCCACTCTGCCTCCAGGTAGAAGAGCCAGCCTGTATGGCCTTGGGCAAGCTGCATAGTTTTAGGACACCCAACAAGAAGGGAATGGGAAACCACTTCTGAGTACTCTCTACCTAGAAAACCCTGTAAATGGTCACAGTAAATCACAAGTGACTTGAGCACAGACAATAAATTTAATATATAAGCCATGTGCAGGGAGACACATACTTTGCTTTTAAAAAGCACTGGGCTCCAAGGACTCCTCATGAAACATGATTCTCCTTAAAAACAAGGTGCAAGACCCCCGATCCACACACATCCTGCAAACGTGCAAACGGGAGACTGTTTTGGCAGTACCAAGTTCAACAGCAGAGGCAATAGAGACTTATGCCCACATTGCCTGTGATTCACATACTGTATTGTCCACGTCCTGCCACTATAAAATGACATAAATCAGATTCCCTTTAAAGCAGGGGTGGGCCACTCTGGTGGAACTGGGGAACAATTCTGCACCCCCAACACTTGCTTTGATCCACAGCAAAGCAAGGGGGGGGGGAAGGCCAACAAAATGGGGGGGCAGAAGTGCCCAGATAGCCATTTCTGGTTCCGATTTCATGGCTGCTGTTGTTTTGGGCTTGCCCGTCCAGAGCAAAAAGGGCTGCACCTGGAGGCCTCTAGGAGCCACAAACACACTTTATGTACCCCAAAAACTACATTTGGTGTAAAAGGGATGGGAAGGTGGAGGTGGTCTGCCTAGCTACCCAAATGCCCTTCGAACCGGCACACTCCCACCTTGTGTTAGAGCTACTCAGGTCAAAAAAGGGCCTTGTCTGAGGCCAAGAAGGAGCAGCCTTGAACAGAGAGGGAACTCTTGCCTCTGCACCTGTTGGGTCAAAAACCGTAGCCAGAGCAGCCAGAGAGACCCTGGGCCAAAAGATTCCAGGGAAGGAGAAACTCACCACAACCACCTGCCCTCGGCGGGGGTCCACGATGCGGACGCTCTTGTCTTTGCAGGCTGAGCAGAAAAGGCTGCCATCGCGGTTCCAGCAAACGTTATAAATGAGGTCAGGATGCAGATCATCGAGTCGGTAAAGTTCTTCAGTTGTGCCCACGTTCCACACAATGACGACATTATCACAGCCTGGAAAAGGGAGGGGGGAGGAAAGGGGGGGTACATCTGTCTCCACAAGAGCTCCTTGTCCCAGTCTTCAGTTTCAACCCAAGCTTTCCATCCAAAGCTTCCCTCACCCCCACCCCCTAAAGACTGCAAGGAGTACCTGCACTCAAAAGGACATTGCGGGCCGTTGGATGCCAAGTGATGATGCCCACACGCTTTGAGTGTCCTTCTAGAACTACCACGGGCTCAGTCAGAGGCAAAGTCAGCCCATTCTCTGGGATCTGCCATATCTAAAGAGACAGATTTGGGGGGGGGGGAGAGAAATGACACAACATCCATTCACCCTTATCTGCTCTAATTGTCCCTTCCAAAGCCACATCCTACCACATGCTTCCTGACTCCCATAATTCTGCCTTAAACTTCTAACAACACCCAGACACTGTTTGGGGACACATTTACTTTAGCCTGATGAGTACTTTCCATCTGATCGCAGTCCATCGCCCCGTCTTCTGCAGGTGAACCCCTACTTTCTAAAGTCTCTCTGCCACATCCCAGAAGATCAGAGACTGGAAAGAACAGCAAGAAGCTCCTGCGGCTTCCCAATTGCAATGGCTACCAGAGGGGGGCTGGGGAATCTCCCACACTGCAAGGATGGCACTGTGAGAAGGGAAACTTCACAGACCATAATGGAGCAGCTTGGACAAAGCCTGCACATCAGGTATGACCCTGCTAGGCAGAGAAAGTATCTCATCATATAGCTCCTCCACCTTCCAACACAACAGGACCACCAGTTCTATTATGTTACTGTATTCAGACCAACTTATAAAAAGTTGTGCACACACTGGAAATAGAGGTGGAGTGTTAATCAAACTCATGTATCAAAAAGCTGGATTTTTCTCTAGGAGTACTACACAAGTACAACATGCTTGTGTATACCTACTTCTTTTACATTGCCTTTCCTGCCTCTGCTAGCTAGCCATAAGAAGCTATCAAGAACAAAAAAAGGCGCACTGCCCCCTCTTAGGCATCTGGGTGCCAGATTTCAGCCTCTCAAGACTTCAGAACCCTGGGCAGTGGAAAGCTGCTTAAAAACAGAACTTCAGAGTGCAAAATTGTGTTATGAATGCATACAGTGGAAACTTTCGATTCAGATCTGATCCTTGGGATGAGACCACCCCATGCCCACACATGCCTCTGCTCGTCCTTCTCCTCCTTACCATAATGGTACAGTCCTCGGAGCCACTGGCAATGATGTGATCATTGTGTGGGCACCAGTCGATGTCCAAAACTGGGCCTGTGTGACCACAGACCGTAGGATAGGACTTATCAATGCGCCCAGTCTGGAGGGAAGAAAATAAACGAGACACAGATCATCCAGCAGCTGAACAGGTCACAGTCCTTCAGGTTGCCCTCTAAACTAGAGTCCTACCAAAGCCTTTCCTTTTTGTCCCACAAGATACCTCAGTTTTCAGCCTAACTCCACCTGACTTAACTGTAGAAGATGGGCTCACTAAAAAAAAACACACCAAAGGATTTAAGAAGAAAAAAAACATGTAAGATGACAGGAGTCCAGGAAGTCTCTGGACCAGCGAATGGTCCCATCCATATCCACAGCTGCATGGCAGTAAGAGTCTTGCCACAATACTGTTGACCACAGGTAGAGCATCATGCTCCATCATCAGTCACTCCCACCAATCTCCACTGCACAGGCAAAAATCACGGAGACTCACCTGCTGACAACAGGGCTTTGCCTACACACAGGGGGGGGACTGGACGCATAAGCTCTGCAATGGCCATTCTATTCACACAACAGTCCACCATGTGTGGAGAACAACTAAAGAGGATTTGTTCCTTGGACTGAGACTCGAAATGCCATATTAGTGTCCAACCAACCATGAACCTCACTCCTTGCTTTGGGGGCTCATTACACTATCTCAGCCTGACTTACCTCAGATGACTGTCATGAGGATAAAGGGTGTACAGTAGGACTATGGTATCTGCAGGGGATCAGTTCTTCCAAGACGCAATCACATACCACCTATACTGTAAAGTGCAGGTATAAAAACACTATACAGTGGTGCCTCGCTTAACGAGCAATTCGTTTAACAATGAATCCGCATAGCGACACGGTTTTTGCGATCGCTATAACGATGTTTTAGATGGTAAAACATTGCTTTGCGATGATCGGTAAGCATTTCGCTTACCGATTTTCGCATAGCGATGTTTTTTCTAACAGCTGATTGGCAGTTCCAAAATGGCCACCGGGTAAAGAAAATGGCCACCCGCAGTGTTTTCGCGCCCTTTCCTCGCTTACCGGGCAGCGAAAATAGCGGCCGCATGGAGGATTTCCGGATAACAGTGAGTTTTTTGCCCACAGGAACGCATTAAATGTGTTTTAATGCGTTCCTATGGGCTTTTTTGCTCCACATAGCGACGAATCCGGATAGCGACGATTTTTTCGGGGCACCACTGTACTGTATATATGGCATAGTCTGATTCCCTCTAGTGGCCAGTTCTGGAGCTACACTTTTGAAAATTTATTTCTGCATTTTCTCATTTAATATTTTTAGGCAGCATATAAGTAAAATCATGGGTACTGATCGTGTGGATAGGGCGGTCCTATTGCTCATCACCTTGCACTCACCAGAGGAAAAGTGAGATATGAATCTGACCAACAAATAATGCAATGCAATTTTTCTCCCTGCGTTTGCGTTCTCCTCTCTCAAGATGCATGGGCAGGACTTGTCTCACCTTCTGCAGGGGGAGCACCATGAAAGCCCCTCCTCCACTGGCCTCTACAATCACTGCCACAAACTTTGGGTTGACAGCACAAAAGGTGCTGTCCCAAGTGACTCGCGACACCCGGATGTCATCGTAGCACTGGTCGTTCTTGACTGGCTGCCCAAAAACATGGCGGAATTTGCTCTGGCGCACAACCTTCCGGAAGGACATGACTGGGAAGACACAGAAAGGGGGGGAAAGATACACACCATTTATTTGCAGGCTGGTATACCATGCAGAATATAATAC